TTCCTTTTTCATCTCATGTTCATGTCTCTTGATCTCAAAGTCATGTTTCATCTCAAGTTCTTTCATCTCCTGCAGTGCTTGAATCCTTTTTTCTTCTCTTTCATCTTTTTTCTTTCCTTCTCAGCAAGGTACTGCTTAAATGTGTCCAATTGTGTGCTCATTTTTTGAACTTCAGCTTGAGCGACTTGATTTTTCCGAAATAATTCTTTTGCGCTTTCCTACCCATAAGCCTTTTACCTTTTGTAAGAAACACTGCCCTCACCAACAGTTGGATTGTTATCAACACTTGGACTGGTGTCATCTTCAAGAGAAATGCAGTTATCCATAGGAGAATCGGGGGCTGAATTAGGAGAAAACGGTGTATGTATTTTGACTTCACCGTGTTCATAGGAGTTACATCTTGCCACCTAATATTGTTTTGCAAGATTGGCCAACAATGTTCAAAAAGAAAATGTTTTTTTCATCTTGATGGTATAACAGTTTTGCTTGAAGCATCTACATCAATAAAATATTAAATTAATTAATTAGTTAATTTTTATGTAAGACAAAATAAAAAAAAAAAACTAACATAATAAATAGAAATGAAATCTTACTATATCAACTTGTGACGCCCCACTTGGATGTAGATTTTCGACTTGCGCTTACACCCCACGAAATTTGTTGCAACATTTCATATTACACCCATCGAATGAGATAGACACTTGTATTCTTGAGTGATCATTCTGCAATGAACAATAATTTTCAAAAATTCTTTCCCAAAAATGAGCATGCGATTGCGAATTTTCAACAATTGGGTCTTCAGTAATGTGACACAAAGCTTTACAATTGCCATATCTTCTTCAGTAGTGAATGATTTTCCTCTCTTTGTTTTTGATGAACCTTCCATAGTGATTGGCCGAAAAAACTAAAATATGACCGTTTGGAAAAAAGAGATGAGAAAAGAAATGTGCTGTGAAGGAAATTAAGATTGAGGTTTCTATTTATAAAAATGCAAAATATGATCGTTTGAAAAATATTACCGTTAATTTATAGCTATTTTTTTTTTTTTTTTTTGGAGGGTTTTTTCTAGCCAAAAGAGCACAAAGGCTCTTTTGCCTTCCAAGGTAAATCACCACCATCCACGTAGATGATTTCCAACGGATGAGATGGATATCCAGAATGATCCAACCTTTACATCTCCCTCTTACTCTACTTCTCTCTATAATCATCTTCCTCTCTTTATCATCAAGATAGACACTTCAATCTTGTTCTCCGTCTCTATCTACCCCGCACCCCTTTCTTGATTTCACTCATCTCTCTCTCTCTCTCTCTCCTCTCTCCTACAACCCAGATCTTGTCTCCAAATCTCACAAACCACCTCAATCGATCATCCATGTCTCCAAATCTCCAAATCTACCTCAATCGATCATCCATGTCTCGGACTCGTTGTTAAAGAGGAGTCTCTGATATGATCGACCTTGGTTCTGAAGAATTTGGGTAATTAGTCTTTGGATTTGATCTATTTTTTGCTTGTTTTTGTGTTTAAAGTTGTTTTTGTTTTGTTCTTAGTTTTTTTGTTGGTGGGTTTTCGGTGGTAGGTGTTCTCATTACAGGATGAGATGCAAAATCAGAGCCCCCTGTTGTGATAAGATCTTTGATTTTAGACATTGCCATAATGAAGCCAAGGTCTGTTTCTCTCTCTTAATTTAGGTGGGCCCAACTCCACATTTGATCCACAAAATTAAGAATTTGACACCCAAATGATGAACACAAACCAGATCATCCGAAGAACAAAGAAGATTCAGGTATTTTTTTTTCCTCACTGTTTTGATTTTATAATTTTTTTAATTGTTTGTGAAATTGATGGTGAATTGGTGAAATTGGTTTTTTGATTTGTGAAATTGGTGAAATTGATGAAATTGATTTTAATTAATTTTCTGTGTTGATGAAATTAATTGTTTGGAAACTCTTCAAATTGGTGAATTTTTTTAAAATTATTTTCTTTTTTGAATTTTAAAATTGTTGGGTGAATTTTGGAAATTTGGAAATTTTGGGTGAATATTGTTTGGAAATTTGGAAAGGATGATGAAACTGTGTAGTATGAATATTGAACTGTGTTTGGAAAGGATGTGAAAAAGGGAGAGAGGGAGGAGGAGGTTAGTTGAAGGTGACTCGGCACCTTTGGTAGCTGCCAAAGCTTGTGCCATATTTGACACAGGTTTTGCATTTGCCAAAGATAGCAGCGGCTAAAAGTTGCCATTGGAGTTGTCTTCTATCCACTACTGCATAATTTGGCAATAGCAGCTCAATGGCACACCATTGGAGATGCTTAAGCCATGAGCATATTGGGAGTGGGCCGGTCCATCTCTCATAACTTTTGACAATCATAGATATACATGACTTCGGTAACGGGCCCCCTTGAGTTTTTGGGACCTAAAGCGAAATAATTTTTTAAGACCTTTAACATTTCATAAAAAAATAAAAATAAAAATCATCCTTTTTGGTTTAGAATTTTCAAAATAATTATTTGAGTTTGCAATTCATTTTTTTTTGTATATTTTTTTGTATTTGGCAACTTTTTTTTATTTTTAAAGTACAAATATTATAGTTTTTAAGTATATCTAAATTAGACGTATCTACAAACTAAATAAATAAAATTGCATAAAACATTTAAAAAACCACTAAAAAACCATAATTTGGCCATAAAAAAAGAGAAAAAAAAATAGGCCCCACAGGCATACATATATTTTATATTTTATTTTTTTAATTGGGCTAACAACACCACTTATAAATATTTTTTAACTGGATTTTTTATGAATTGACAAGTAGAACTTTTGAGGCATTTTAAAATGACCTAAATTAATTAAACAAAATTGGGCCATTTTGATTTTTTTTATATAGTACAAGATAACGAATTTGGGGCCTTTTTTGGCGCTAATTATTGGGGCCCTAGGCACAGGCCCACTGGCCTTAGCTCAGGACCGGCCCTGTTTGGTAATTGGAGTTATTTAATAATGGATTAAGGAAATCCTCATTCATTTTAGTTTGTGTTTTACAAAAATTTCAGATTTTTTTTTTTTTGAAAACTAGTTTAATAAAAAATAAATATCAAAAATATAATTTTAAAATTTTAAAAATTATTTCTAACATCCCAAAATAAAATATATAAAAATAATAAGTGTTTTTGTTTAATTTTTTATCAAATTATGTTGTATTCTTTTAAAAAGAATCTAAATGAATTTCTAAAAATCAAACTAAAAATGGTCCTCATCTTTTATTTTATTTTATTATTAATAACATAATTTTTTCTTACGAACAAAAAAATTGCATATTTATTCAAATGCGGAATTGTTGTTTAAAATTTTATTAACATGTTCATAAATTGGCTTAACTCATTCATATGCATGCATAAAATATCTTGTACTTGTCGACGCAATAATCGGATTTGCGGTCACTACTATGTTGTATGCATAACAGTCATGACTGTTATGCATATTGTCAGGCCGACTTTGATTTTTTTTTTTTTAATAATTTAAGTCATTCATTCATTATTTATTTATTTATTATTGAATATCGAGTAAGATATATTTGTAAAAATTAAATTAATAAGATAAATCAAAAATTCTCATATTTAAGATTTTTTATAGACAATTTAACTTTGTAGATATTTTTTTCAACCCTAGCAACTTGGTATGACGATTATGGTGTGAGTTAATTTGAACTATATTTTACTTTTTGTACATAAATTTTAAAATTTTATAACTTTTGTTATATATATTTATTTTAGAAAATTTATTAAAAAAATCTTCTTTCAAATACTTGTATCCTAATTAGTTTATAAATATTTCTTGTATTCCAATATATTGTATTATTTTGAACATTTGATCTACCAAATCCTAATTCTCATATTTAAGTATTTTATTGATAACTTTACTCTTACAAATATTTTTTAAACCCTTAAAATTTTGGTGATATGAACATTCACATTTAAAAAAAAATTGATGGTGTGAATGTTCAAATGTGAACATTAATATGCGCTCCACTTATTATTATTAGGAATAGTTTGATAAATATGTCACTATAGGAGTTATTGGAACATAAAATGATGAAAATGAATTTATAAATAATGCCTCATTTATTTTTGATGAAATTTAAATTTTAAAATTTATTTAACGAAATCTATCAAATAAGATGTCACTATCGGACACCCTAAGGGGCCATTAGAAGTTTGTTGGTTGTTTAAATTCAAGGCTTTTGAATTAGTAATTATGAAAAAATTATCTCCAAACAACTGAGGTAGCTCTGTTCCAATCTGATTAGTTTAATTAGGGGAAATTTCAGTTCATTGCAAATTTTAAAAAATAATTACAATCAATGAAAAAAATTAATTAATTTAATAATTAAAATTATAAGTTTTTGCATGTTTGTAAATATTTTGTGAAAGTAACCACTTGCAATTTTTTGTTGTTGCAGAGTGCTATTTGTGCACCAAATTAAAAAGAAACGTAAAATTGGCTCATAAACATGAGTAGTAGATATCAACATTCACAAAAACAATGAAATACGTAATACGAACGAAGAACTAAATATATATATACATATAACCATCTCTGTAACAATTTCTAAGACACAACCTAGGCCTGACTAACAAGAATATTTTAAGTGATTTCCATATCAGAAGCCCAACGATTGAGATTGTCCCTCATTAGTTGCAGATGAGGAACTATTTCCTTGTATGACTTGTTTCCCAAACTGTCAAGCTTAAGCCATGGCTTCCTCATAGGCCTCCTCGCCATGCTACGCGCTTTTCTCTGATGCACCTTCAATCTCAGCAGCAAACAGAGAAATGTGAGTGCCAGACCCAGCCTCGTGGGAAGGGTTTGGAGCGAGTTCAGAAACCGCAATTGCCTCCGCAGCCTGTATGCCATGATGGTGTTCTCAGAAGCCTCTGTTCTCTCTGTTCCGACTTGAATTCCGTCATGTATAGATAATAATCCCCCTTCATCTTCAAGTAGAAGACTTTAAGCTCGCTGTCCATAAGCCGAGGGTATCAGATGCTTTTCCAGCAGATTCAAAACCCTATTGCAGATATGAGAGGAGTTCTGATTCGATCTTGGATTTGTAGTCGGTGACCGAGTGCGAACATGGTTGTTGTGGTTCTGTTCAGTTGAAGAGAGGGCCCGCCAGGCGGCACGAAGTGAGTCCATCACATTTCTTGGTGCGGTGGAGAGGAGATTACGCTCCTCGATTGTGAGTTCGCTGCCGGAGGAGGAGGTAGAACCGATGATGAGCTTTTTCCATGAAGTTGACGGTATCTTTGTAGCGGTTGGCTGGGCAAGTTTGGCCATATAGAATCACTCGTATCTGCTCATGTTTCCTGGTACACCATTGCCATTAAGAACTCCACGGATTCAATAGCTATAGAATGGCTAAAAGAAAAGAAAAGAAAAAAATGTGAAGCCAGAGAGAGGAATGGGTCTTTAATTTACAGCGGAAGGTTTATTGATTTTGGAAACTTAAGCTGGAATTGAATTTGGAAAGGGAAAAAACTCTCAAGTCCTAAGTCTACTTGGATTGGATTACTTTCCTAATGGACGCTAGGCTCGACCGCCCTATGGTCATCACACTTCCCATAACATAAAAAAAGATATAATAATATAATAATACAGTAAGTATGTTAGGTATCATGAAAAATTTTGTTTATGATCATTTTCATGAAGCATTTTTTATAATGTCTAGCATTTTCCTAATGCAATTATTAGTAGAAATTTACGCAAGTGTACTTTCATTGCTTTGTTTTTTCTAATTTATTTTTTTGTGTTAATTTGTAAAATACCATTTTGAAAAACATCATACATTCAACTAATGTGTAAATTTTGTGTAAATTTGAAAAAAGTATAAATTTTTTGTTTGAATTATAAAAGAATTAAGTTATATGTTCACTAATGTTCTTTTTTATTTTGTATTTCAAATCGTTCTAACCCGCTCAAATAGTTAATTTCAAAATATTTAATGTCTTTGGGACGAGATCTGTAACAACTTTGTTCTGATTTGTAGGATTATTTGTCAAACAAATATTGGGATGTTTTATTCTTAGAAAGAAAACTAAAAATACTTAAATTTTAAATGCGTGTGGATTTAAAATTGTTGTGTTGTGAATCGCATTTGAAACGAATTTGAGACACATATTACTGTTAAATATTACTGTTTACGTCAATTTCGATGGTAATCATTTTTTTTATAAAGAATTTCATAGTCAATTTAAATTTTATTGATAAATCTTGATAAGAGGATTATAAAAATATTAATTTTATTAAAAATTGATATTTTAGATAAAAGGTTATATCATTTTAAAGTTTAAATATTAAATTACTCCCAAAAGTTTAATTGTTTAATTGTTTGTTGCATATCACAAAATCCATACTAGCGCAGTCCACACATATGGGTCCTTTTGATGATTCCACCCTCTTTTTCTCACATATGAGTTCACATCTCTACTCCAAATATGTTGGGTGTAATTCAGACTTATTGCTCAAATTCAATTTAAGTTGT